GTATGACTCGGGGTAAAGACAATTTAGTGTTCCAACGCATACTCATTATAGTGAATAGGTGTGTGTCAGTTAATCGGTGCCCAATGTTGTTGCTGCTGGATAACATATTCCGAGGTAACTGAAGCTACACAGCCATCTAATGTTCAAACCTGCATCGAAGGGGCCGTAACGAGATCTGCAAGGCATGATTCTATACCTGTACTGTAAGACATGTGTATAATTATAACGAGGAAGTAAATCTAACGGATGACATTTCTTCGTTATAATAAGATCCGTTGAGGCCATACTGCTTCATATAATTATGTTTAAACATATCTTCTCGTTAACCTATGAATTTTGGACCATCGTTAAATTTGCGACTCGTTATAATAACATGTCTTACAGTATTCGATGCTCTCTAGCAGGACATTCATCTGCCTCATTTTCTCTGTGCTGCATTGATGAGCGAAACAGCATGTTGTCCTCAGATTGAGTATTGTGTATGACAGACATGTATGTAGTGGTAAAGCTCAAATACATGTGCAACATAACAATCAATAACAATCTCCGTGTTTTACAACAGCACAAACCCAGCACCGCAATTCTTAATTTTGGGCTGTGGTGTTCTTAGTATTTCAGGCTGGATGTTCTAGGCTTCCACGCTCTTGGGCGCACGACTTTACAGCCAATGAACCCAGTGCTTGGTGGCAGATGAGTGTCATGGAGCACCATTTTGCATGTGGCTTTCACTATATGCACATGTACAACGTTCAATTGATTCGGAAAAATCAGACGAGGACTTTTGCAGTTATGAGCAAGGTCCCCACGAATGGTCATGTCACTTCACAGAATACATGAACTGATAGAGTAGACCGAGGTCCCCCTCAGAGAACGCTTGGGGAAGTCGGTTTCAACTGAGGACATGTCCAAAACCATGCTAAGTACTTGAGCTGCTCATGACCCCCACAATTATCAGGCCCGCCGGAACCGGTCTGGTTGGTCAGGTTATCACCGGACCAACTTGTTGGCCACCAAGAAATGTTTCCTGCTGTGGAGGACGTGTGTACCCGCCATATCACACACAAAGTATAAAAGGCCATGGACCAATCAAAAACTGCTTCCGGCGGTACTGATTATAGTACAGGTTTAAAAAGCGGCTCCATTTTTGTCATACATCAAACCAACTCTGTCATTGCTATGCTACTCAAAAAGAGTAGTGATGTTTATTCACAAATGAATCACAATGCTATCAGAGAACTTCGATATTCTCCAATTTTAGGGGCACTGCAGTACTATGCAAAAATTAATGCTGCTTGGTCATTGTTATGAAGCAGTCAACTCAGTACAGCAATTAAACAGGCTGATTATGTGAACGAGATTCACGGCAAATCTTCTTCCATCAGTGCTGTTTAGTCTTGAGTGGTCCACTGAGGCAGGAAAACAACCTGTTCGGTCCTTCCATACGAGAAACAGAAATTGAACATGTTCCAGGGTGGAGGTGGCGAGTATCGGCAATGTAATGCACCTTTAGGCCAACACGACCATCATTCCGACATGGATTCTCAAACACCTTCGCTCGTGAGTGTGCCTCAGAGTGGTATTCATCAACAGATGGCAATCCTGTAAAACACATGAAAAGACATAGCAGCAACACAAAGAAACCTAATGTTATAGAAACGAATTCGAAAAACAAAGTCTACTGAACCAAGGTACAACCACACTCCAGGAGGCAAGCAAAAGTGCATATAATCCGAAGGTTGCGATGCTTGTATGTATTGTATTTATGGAATCTCCACAGGCCTCAGCCTAAATCGAGGGAGTCTCTGTCATGCCACACTGGATACAACATGCTACCAGAATCACTTTCCCCAGTATTGATGATCTCTTCTTAGGGTGTTATATAAAACACATCTGTAGCCACTTCATCTTGCTCACGAAATCATACACCACCACACAAACGAGCCCTTCGGCTATTATACTTTGGGTGGTGATGTATGATATTGATAATCTATTGATACTAGGGCTGAAACGATTATATCGGTTATCCGTCTAATCGATCATTACAAGGAAAAGATTTCGATTACGCGATTCTAAAAAAAAGAAACGTCTGCAAGAATAAAAAAGATGTCATGTACAGCACTACTAGATACTGTACTTTGTCCTTTTCCTCGTTTCTTTTTGTTGGCCATATGTTTTCCAGTAGGGCTGTGAAAAAAATAAAAAAATAAAAAACTGACTGTCTGCACCTGCACGTGATGTGCCACTGCATTGTGTAGAGTACCCGGTTTATCTGCATGTGTGTATGTACATGTATATGTGTATATGTCAACACGGCATGCTTTGTGCTGGTCTGGCGCGACAATTTCTAGGACGCAGTAATTGATATCATCATCGATAATCGAATGGATGCAAGGGTAGGTTAACCGATAGTTGAAAAGTGTAATCGTTTCACCCCTAATTGATACCATATCCAAGTCTGACTCTCACCGTGAGATCCTGGCAACAATATTACCTGGTACATGACATATTCAGACACTGACATAAGCATCTTTTTGGAACAACACGTGTGCCTATCTGCTAGAGTAATGTGACACACATGCAGAATCAGTCATAGCTAATTTTACCCTCTCACTGTTGTATGCGCAGACTCCACTTCGCGGTGTCAAGTACTCTTCTTTCGGTGGGCTACTCCACTCAGGCGCTTGTTTTAGAGGACTCACATTCATCCTACAAACCTACACGACTTGCATAGTTTTCACTGTCGGCCGAAGTGCATGCATTGCACACATTGCGATTCACTCCCTCCGTACAGGCCAGTACAGAGCTGCCCACCAATTGAGTCTGTTTTGCATACTCAAACTTCTGATTTTCCGTATCTTGCAGTGTGTTGCGTACTGCCGTGTACATTGCATGCAACTTGCACTACAAAGTTTTTTGACATGCACATGCATGTCGGTGGCTGCATTTGGTAGTGTAAAACATGTGTGACTTGCACTCACGACATTATTATTTTTGTGCTACATGTACATGTTGTCGTGGTACGGCATGCACTCGCTTTGGTACAAGACTATTCATCGCTCAGCTTACACTTGCAATGCTTCTACACAGCTGATTGATCCTCTTCGATTTTCTATACCATTTGCTCAAATTCTGTAGTGCGGACAAGGAGTGATTTTCCGTACAAATACAGAAAAATATGGAGGGCTGGTACTTGGTAGCACTGCTAGTATGGTAGTGCCAGGCTAAGCTGGCTGGAAGATCAGATACTTTTTTGGTTCTTTCAGTCATTTTCACGAGCTATATTTTCTTTATCATGATCTCTGGGGTGTGACGTTCTTACGGATGCAGAAACTCAGTCTTTCTAACCGAGTCTCACGTGCACTGTGAATTTGCTCTTCTTTTATTCACACTGCCATGTATCAATTCATCGCTTCTTCCCACCCGAGATCCTGTGCAACAGCGATTTAAAGATTGGTTTCATCAAATAGTGATCAGAGAGAGAGAGGGAGGATCAGTTGTGGTTGCTGTGACAGCTGCATAGAGTGTAGATTGGTGCAAACATCATTGCCCAGCAGAACCGTATTCATAGGGACCTGCGTTTAGCATTTGGAAGCTATTTTTTAGCATTTTTACAGGCCCAATAAGCCTGAAGAAAAGAACACCTAACTTAGACTGTCCTAACGTTATCGAACGCACTGCCAAAGTAAAAACAACATTTGAAATGCAAACTCGATTGTGCATGCATGGAGGGCATGGGGAAGAGACGGAGAGGGTGAAAGTGAAGGAAATTTGTTCCGAAATCAAGAGAATCCGAGGAACCCTTGCTGCATTCTTCAGTACGATAACGTCAGTGGGTGCATCTCAGATGTGTTGTGTGCCCAGACATACAAGTAGCACTAACCTGAGCATGAGAGCTGCTTGTCATCATCGTGGTCAGGAAAACGAAAGGACGAACGTAGAAGATTGCTGACCATGACGAACAACAGTGCATATCCAGACGACAGACGGCTTGCCAGAATCAGTCTGGTGCATCTTCAGGAATCTTCTTTCCTAATCGCATTCAGCAGTCAGCTTCGAGGTCAAGAACGCGGTGATTTTTCAGAAGGAATAATTTTCAAAATATTTTAAATTTTGGAGAAGAAGCTTCCTTTCTAAAAAAAAAAAGCGTTCCTTGCTTTCACGCAAGATGCCTTGCCGGACATGTCATCGACAGCACAGTGTCGGCAGATCCACGTTTGTAGGCTGCAGACCCGGCAGACGTTTTGATCAGCCCGGCCTGGTGGTGAGATTTCGGACCCGGGAGTACTAAAAACTGCTCGCATCCCAGGGTGCTCAGTTTCGCTCTATCCGATCGAGTAAGGCTTCCAGAAAGGCCCTCAGGTGCGCGGCCTGCGGTGCCATAATATACCTCGACGTGGACGTGTTCAGTCCACGTACGTCAGTCACACGACAGCCCGCCGAAAAAAAGTTACGGTCGGGCTGAAATTGTACGGTCGGGTGAGTCGAACCACACACCTTCTTTAGTTTGGCCTAATTGGGTCTTTTTGTATTATGAGGACCGCGTACCGGTACCAGCATAAAACAGTTCATGTACTCTAGGCATGCAGGAAGTCTGGTATTTTACTACTCCCTGGCCTTCAGCTACAGTGTGGTATTTGAACTGCTACACCCGTCAGCAAATGGCTTGTACAGCTGTACCTAAAATATGGCAAGAAAGTAGAAGAAACCATAACCGCTACTCAGCAACTGTGTATACTACAGCCGGCGGGAATAACTCGTACAAAGTGAAACCAGAGGTACATGTACATGACAGTACGCCCCCCCCCCCCCCCCCCCCCACACCAGGGAGTACTACTCCCTGCCGGCATGCCCCACACACACTAATTTAAAAAATGCCACTGGGTCAGGCAACCACGCACAATCCAATGGAACTTCACCAACACAACCTCAAAATGCACTGTGCCTGGGTCAGCCTGTGCAGTGACTGTAATATCATCTGGAAAATACATGTACTGTACATGTACTGTACCTCGCATTCTTACCTGAAGATCAGACAAGAATGAAGGAAGAAAGAATCCAGTTAATAAAAAGTTAGATAAAGATCCGGCATTCACTTGCCAGATTATAATGGAACGGATAGCGCCGCCCTGAGAGCTAGTGTAGAAATGAGAATCCCAATAACATACGTGTGCAGTGCACTGTTCATGCACACTGGCAAATGACAACGGACAGAGCCAAATAGTATTGAGGAATGGCACGGTGAGTGAATAAAAAATAAATAAGATATGCACGCATGTGATGTGGTGAAGGTTTAATATCAACAATGCCTTGATTTGAGTAAAAAATGGAGATAAAACAATCAACAGTGTGCCTGTGTTGCAAAGAACACAAGCTGGATGGAAACGTGGTCCTAGTAGACATCACACAAAGTGCATACCAAGGTGCCCTTTGTTTCGTGGGTCAGCTCGGAAAACAAGGATTTAAAAACTTGAGCATCGCCCGTCAAAGAAGACACTCTCGCACACACCCCCTGCCACTATTCAACGGTGACGGACTTGGCCAGGTTACGCGGACAGTCCACATCGTAGCCGCGAGCACGAGCAAGATGGAAGGAGAGCAGCTGCAGGGGGATGACAGTCAGGATGCCGGTGAGACAGTCGACGCACGGCGGCACGCGCAGCTGCCGGCCGACGCTGAGCTTGGTGATCTCCTCGTCGTCCTGCTGGCAAATGACGATGGGGCGGCCGGCGCGCGCCATCACCTGCTGCAGTGCGTTCTGGCACTTGGTGTACGTGCCATCGCGCACGCAGATCATGAGCACGGGCATGTTGGAATCGACCAGAGCCAACGGACCGTGCTTTAGCTCGCCGGCCATGATGCCCTCCGAGTGCATGTATGCCACCTCCTTCACCTTCAGCGCGCCTTCCAGGCACGTGGCAAAGTTGAAGCCGCGGCCCATCAGCAGCAAGCTCTTCTCCTCGAGCAGCTCGGCGGAGAGTTGCTTGATAGAGGTATCCAGCTTGAGAACCTCCTTGATCAGGTCGGGCAGCACCCGCAAACCTACAAGCATGTAGTCACACGGAGAATAAAAACGAGAAGAAGCGGGTGGTGAGCGTGGGTGCAATATTATGCTATGGTATCCAGGACTACAAAGCATTATAATTTAAAAACTTTCTGAGACGCGACTTGCGATACCAGCGGCAGGAACAAAAAGGTGGCAATGAGTCGTGAAAGACATCACGTAACTTGTGGGTGACACCGAGGCTCTCAGGCACAAAAACAAAAAGGAAAACACAGACAAGAAGGAGGGGAAACGCCGAACCATAGCTAGAATGAACAAAAGTCAAGAAAACATTCCCATTCTACAAGCCTGGCTTTTATATGCGACGTTCCGGGTAGACACCTTACTATAACCAAGAGTACATAACCCCCCAGAGTGTGCAATGCCGATCCAGCTCTGCATAGGGTCTTGGTCGAGCGGAATCGGATCTTCTGATGTCATGCATACACTCCACACCAGCGCAAGGCCGGTCTCGAGGCAGGGCACCATTGTTTTTGATCCAAGAGTACCCGCGACTCCCTGGGTTCCCCTCAGATGTGTACGGTATTATGACGCAAAGATCCGATTCCGCTCGACCAAGACCCTATGCAGAGCTGGATCAGGCGTTGCACACTCTGAGGGGTTATGTACTCTTGCTATAACATGTACATGTACAGTCGAATGTCACTTATCCGACCACTTCGGGAATCAGGCATGTTGGATAACTGAATATGTTTGATAACTGATATCATTTTTATGTCCATATATGGCTGGATTTCACTGATTTATGTACACAATACCCAAATTATATTCATGCATAATCACCGAAGGATGTACCCAGAGTGCTTGACAGCTGCACGCATCAAAAGCCACAACAAAGCGGTCCTCTGCCCGCAAACGAAAAAACCGGAAAAGCCCTGCAACTGCCGAGACAAGCCATCTTGTCCACTCAACGGTGAATGCCAAACGACGGAGCTGATATATGTGGCATCCATAACGTCAGGCCCCACCAAAAAGGAATACACCGGTATGTCGGCGCCACCATTCAAGTCATGCCATGCCAACCACATGACTACAACAAGATACGAGAAGTACTCCAGCTGCACTGAGTTCTCCAACTACATCTGGAAGCTGAAGAAATCCAACGCCCAATACGAAGTCGAATGGAGGATAAAAGATCGCGCCCGGGCATACTCCAACATCACGAAGCGGTGTTCCCTCTGTACCAGAGAAAAGTATCACATCCTGAACACGCTAGGGTCACCGTCCAGCCTCAACAAGCGCTCCGAAATGGTGTCCAAGTGCCGACACGAGAACAAGTATCTCCTAAAAAACCACGGTGTCACCTAAACATGTCTCCACAGCCTCCTGCCCACACCATTCACGTTCACACACCTTGCTCATAACACCCTGCCCACACCAGACATATCCATTTACATTGCGCTATTATCACACTGCTAGCTCTACAGCCTCCTGCCTACAACATCCACACGCATTGTTCACCACCTCCTGCCCACACCAGCCACACATTTCGCGCTCACACTGCACTGCTAGCCCCTGCCTTCAACAACCACACACAGCCCCCTGCCTAAAACATCACCGCTACTGCGCTAGCCCCCACAGTCTCACACAGCTTTTTATACCACCCTCTCCTGGCATATATACCGGCATGGTCGGCACCCGATCTTCATGTTGCCTGATGATTGCGTAAGCATGAAACTTAAAGTAGCAGCAAACAAGCCTTGATTGTCCTTGTTGTTCTGTTGTGTTGTTCATGCATAATCATGAATTGCTCCATGTACACATACATGTTAGCATACTTGACCACATCTACTTCAAGTAAAATGCATATTACACCGTATAATTATACAATTTTTTTTAGAATTTTACTGTTGAGAGTCATAAAATTACCACTCCCGGGCTTGTCGGATAACCGACGTGCTCGGATAACTGGCGACCGGATAAGTGACATTCGACTACTACTACTACTACCGTTTTGTTGGCTCTTATACTGAAAGATATGTAAATATAATGTCAGAAGTAAATCTAACGTTTTAACGAGTGACATTTCTTAGACATTTCTTAGACATTTCTTCGTTTATAATAAGTTTTGTCGAGGCTGTTATGCCTCCTACAGTGCTGACCAAAGAAATCCAACCTCATGAATAAAGTTGCGTCGCGTTAGAGTGCACAGACCAGTGTGTGTAGTGCTAGGGCTGCATAGCGCCCGGCGCTATTTTATTCATGAGGTTGGATTTCCTTGGCCAGCACTGTATATGTTATGTGCGGATATGCCTGAAGACTGCAAGATCGTTAGCATATCTTTTGGTTAACCTATGAATTTCGGACAAGTGTTAAATTTGCGACTTGTTATAATAACATGTCTTACAGAGAAGTTATTCCAGGGTGCGACAGAGCTCTCGGCCATTGAAGAAAATGTTGAGTCACCTCCATCATTACACTGCGCTCTTTAGCCGACTAGACCCTCCTGCACACAACCATCATCACTGCGAGGACACTTCCGTAGACAATATTGATAATTCCTTCAGACAGCTGTTCCGCTAATACATAGCTCATCAGTGAAGGTAGATGTAGAATGATTAGAAATATAGACCAAACTGCTATATTATAGGGTTTTCCACATACAAAACTGGCATAGCTGATGTGATAACGCGGGAAAAGGAAAGTGTGAAGTACTGTTGACGCGCATGGGACATGCATGCAGCGTCAGAAATTGGGCGCGGAAAATCAATCACTATGACTATCAATGCAGAAATAATGAGCCGGAATCAGTGTACAGTGTAGCTAGTGAGAGTCTGTGTATTGCACTTGTCCGAGCGCCAAGAAGGCCTGCAAACAAACAAGTGATTGATTTTCCGCGCCGAATTTCTGACGCTGCATGCATGTCTCATGCGCGTCAACAGTACTTCACACTTTCCTTTTCCCGCGTTATCACATCAGCTATGCCAGTTTTGTATGTGGAAAACCGAATTTCTAATCATTCAACATCTACCTTCACTGATGAGCTATGTATTAGCGAAACAGCTGTCTGAAGGAATTATCAATATCGTCTACGGAAGTGTCCTCGCAGTGGTGATGGTTGTGTGCAGGACGGTCTAGTCGGCTAAAGAGCGCAGTGTAATGGTGGAGGTGACTCAACATTTTGTTTACAGAGAACTCGGAGTTATGACAAACTTTGTCAGTTTTGTGCCATTTTGTCGCACTCGCTGACTTTATAAGATCTGGTTACGTTGGTGGACAGTTTGTCATAACTCGTAACATTTTGTCCTTTTCCTTTCTTCATCAAAACATAGGTGTTGTACATTTTTTTCCTAACGTGCCTTGAAAGTGCGACTGCGGCTGTATCTAACGCACACAATAGGAGGGGAGTCATACCTTTCATCAATGATTAACCCTTAAACCGTCAGACCATACATTTGTGGGTCGAATTCGACCCATCATTTGAAATACTCGCACTGGAATGATTTTTTACCCACGATAGAAAATTTACTATCGATTCGGTCGCGAATTTTCCAGGCTTTCTGTTGCAGAAATCCGCGTTGAGCTACGATGTAGTGGGGCAGAGTTATCAAGCGCTAAGTACTGCACGCTTGTCACTTCCGCTGCGCTGGGCGCGCGGCTGACATCGACGTCGTCACGGGATTTCCCCGTTTCTTCACGCGCTCTGTGACTGTTGCTCGCGACCAACGTATTCCTCACGAAATGCTCGATCTCTCAAAAAAAAATTGAACACTCTACGATGAAGGAGACGGCCATGGCGGAGTTTTGAACTTGTCATTTGCATGCCTGGCGTTGAGACGACGTCGCTGCGTTCCAGCGCTGGTTGTGTGACTGCTGAGGCGAAGAATGTGGTATCATCGTGCTGGTCTCGTCCAGAGCTTTCCAACGAGCCCAAGATTATAAAAATCGAGTGAGTACAACTAAAGTTATGACCTGGCAAAGTTGAAATTTCGTTCGGCGTTTCAATGGGTGAAATTTATATGACGGTTAAAGGGTTAAAGCAGAATGCTTTTATCTAGATACACCGCAAAAGCTTTTAAGCATGTGCTTTTCGCAGTTTACAAAGCAGTGTGGCTCTCGGCGAGCGCATGATCGCGATGGGAATTATGGCATGTTAGCACATCACCAGCCTACCGGCTTGCTGTGGCTTCTTGAAGATCTGCATCAAACCAACCAGGACTGTCCTGTTTGGCTGTCACTTTGGGAACTTTGGTAACCCTTTCAGTCAGGGGTTTGGGCAGCCAAGTTTTACGGACACGTCTTACAGGCTCGTTAGAATGCGAAACGTAGATAAACAATACTAAACCCATATCCAGCAGTGTTCTCAGGTATGTTCCGTGATTTTTAGCCTAGCCAGCTGAGCTCCTCCCTTTCGAATTTGGAACATGATGCCTGCACATATCTCAAAAAAAGAGATGAGAACGTAAAAGACCTTGGCGGACCTCGGTCCTTTACTCGACCTATATTTCCCATAACGACCTCGTCTCGGTCCATATCCTATACAGTCGTCCCTCTCTAATCCGGCACTTGTTTATCCAGCACTCTTGCAAACCAGCACACTTTCTGGCAAAACAGATTTTTTCAGTTCATTTTCTACGCTTTAATCCGGCACTTGAATTCCGCCTCCAGCAGCGATATTCTGCAACAAATCACTCAAAAGTACTTGGATTGACACAGAAAATCCCTACATTTTGACGTACGACACAAACATGTACGTTGTTGTGGAATTGCGTGACTGTACTTCCAGCCAGCTCTGTACTCTGTACTAATACTATAGGAACGTGCAGTACCTGCAGGTCACATGCCAACAGTGCTAGTTTTAGTGTATTCTGTGGTTTGGATGATTACAAGTTACTTCTGTAGTACACATTGCATAATCATAATAATGAGGGTGATCATCCTAGGCTACAGTGCCTGCCAGCTGTGTTTGACTCAGCAGCAATGTACTCTGCGTATATGTGGCTGTTAGAAGCTGTGTTTACATGTTATGATGAGACGC